CCATGATGGAGCTTCTAGGGAGGGTTATCTGAGGGAGAGAGACTGGCCATGAGTGTGCACAGCACCATCCCGTGGACTGGGCATCTTGACTGAATAAAAGGAAGCCAAGGAGAGCTGAGCACAGCCATTCCCACTCTACTTCCTGTCCCACTTGGCTGTGGACTGTTTTGCTCCTTGAACCAAAACAAATCCTCCCTCTCTCAAATTGTTTCTGTCACAACCAGAAAAGCAGCCGATACAAGGCCGCATCTTGTTTATCCATGCTATTCCATCTGACATCGTAGTGGCCCCATGAGACAGCTAACGAGGGCTGGTCACCCATCTTACAGATTGAGAGGTGGAGGCCCATAGAAAGGATGGCTTATCCAGAATCACCTCTGCAATGTCATCCTCTACCCCATTTCCAACATCTGCTCACTAAATCCAGTTTCTGCTAGTTCTGGAGCAGAGGTTCTGAGTCCTTGTGGAACAGAGACTTCAGGAGGTGGCGCCTCTTACGAGAGACCCAGACCACGTGTTCCGCCTCCTGCCTCATCCATGCTGGAGCCAGAAAAGCAGCCCCATTAACAACACGCTCCCCACAACCAGCACTTCTGTCTGACTGGCTGCCTTCTAATTCAGAGGGAGTTTCCGGGTCTATTTTTCTGTCTTTTTTGGTTTGACTACCACCAACATCACTCTCCTCTGTCAGAGACAAACAGCATCCCTGTTCTGATCCAAGATGTAGCATAACTTTTCTTGTAAGTTAATCATAAGGTGGGTTTTTAGTTGAAAAGTCCTCCGGGACTTGGCTTGATGGGGAAACGGGATTCGGAGGGAAAAGTGTGGACCGCATGTCACCACGATGACTCACTGTATACTTGAAGTCTTGTTGAACTATGAATTAGAACTAAATTTAGTTGGAGGCGGCCTTACTGGTTTAGAGGAAAATGGTGATGACAAGACAGATCTTTTTCAGCTCTCTAAAACCCCTGGGCATAGTGGCATACACTCATAGAAATGACATCCCAGAAACTTCCGCTGTGTATGAAAGAGCTAAAGAATTAAGTCCAAGTAAAAAGGAGAGAAAGTGGAAACATTTAATTCTCTAGTGTATGAGGTGCCCTGGGGATACTGTCCAAATTCAGAGGTACAAAAGAAAGAATATCAAAGGATTTCAGCAGAAAGGGAAGAAAACTGCATTTAATAAAAGTCTAGGATTAAAGGGGTTTCGGAAAAAAATTGTAACCAATGTGTTAGCTTGGCAAAAGAGATCTATGCAAGTCTATGTGAAAAGTCCAAGGCCTTAAGTAAATAACAATAAATGTGAGGAAGCATGGAGATAGACACAGGCCAAGGCCATCCTCTGTGACAATCAAAGAAATGCAACAAAAGAGGGTCACGTGTTTCTTCATGAAGTTAGCTGATAAACTTCGTGCCAAGGACAATGACATGGTGTCGCTCTCCACCGACAGGACAGCCACAAAGTGGTACTAACTTGTTGGCAATTGTTTTGACAACATGGTAATTCCAGTTTTCAGGTTCAAACTTCAAAATGAAAGTTTAGGATTGGGAAGCCATTCTGCAGAAATACATTAGAAAATGAATCAGTTGCTCATTTGCTAGAGAATGGGTTTGTAAACTATAGCTTTTTTTCTCACTAGAATAGTAGGAAAATCTAAAAATCTGAAAAATATAGGTTAGATAAAAAGGAAGTGTTGTATTACAATTTAATGCAATATTTTAAAACATATAAAATACAGTGTTAAATATATTGCTCATATAAAGACCTGATTATAGCAGCTTTATTCCAATTCCTCAGACTGAGGAAAACCATCATTATTGAGGGGAATAGATGAGTAAACTATGCGACAACCAGACAATGGACTATTACTTGGACTGTAAAGAAATGAGCCAGCAAACCAGAAGATATGGAGAAAGAACCCTCCGTGCTGGTTATCAAGTGAGAAGAACTGGTCTGAACAGGCTACATAGTGTGTTTACCACCCTCCAATGTCCTGGACCCAGCAGACCCATGGAGCCAGTCAAAGCAAAGAGCAATGGTTTCTGGAACCTGAAGGGTGTGGAGAGGCAAAGCACAGAGGACTCTTGGGAGTGCGAAGGCCCTCTGTAGAATATTACAATTCTGCACATACGTCACTGTCACTGTATATTCGTGCAAAGTCTTAGAACACAGGAGAGTGAACCCTAATATTACCTGTGGACTGTGGATGCGCCTGATGATTCTGCATAGGCTTTCCAATTGCAGAGTATGGGGTGTTGGGAAAATTTGTCCCTTCTCAATTCCTCTGTAAACCTAAAACTGCTCTAAAAATAGTCATTCTTTTTTTTTAAGAAGGAGAAACAAGTTGTGGAAATATTTACAGAGGTCGAGTTTTGGTCATGACAGGCTTATTTCCTTTCATTTCCATGCCTATAATTACCATTTTAATCCACAAACCTGCCTGATTTTATTTGAAAAGAAAAATAATAAACATGTCAAGAGTTTAAAAGGCTGCGGAACCAAGCTCTCTGTGTTGTCTGTTTAAACAATCCCTCGTTTGCTCTTGGCGGTCAGAGTTTTGTAAACTCCCATTCCTTTAAGCTATTTGTCAATTTACACAGTGGGCCCTGCACTCTCCAGCTATGACCACTTAGCCTGTTCCCAAGGAAAATAAGTCATCCTTGGGGAATCCTGGTAGAAACACATCCTTAGACTTTTCCCACACTTTGTGAGTGAGTCTTGACTTGTTTCTAATATTTAGGACCATCATTACCATAGCCTGTAACTATATATCTACATTACTTGTGTATAATTGTAAATGCAACAATTCTCTGTCCTGTCTCCTCTCTGTGCAGCTCTCCAGCATTCCTAGTCTCAAGACCCTTGACTATTTCTAACATTTCTTTATATGTAGGCAAGCTCACTCCAGCTTGTGTCTTGTTTCCCCTATTTTTATATGAAGCGTGAGGTATTTCACAGTGGATTTCTCCTTAGAAATGTGTCTAACCCTTGGAATTTTTCTCTCAACAACGTATCTTACTTCACTAGAACATAGGTCACTGCTTTCTTCCTGTTTCTAGCCACAGAGGACCAGGATAAGAATAATAACATACTAGTAGGGTGGTAGTGGTGCACGCCTTTAATCCCAGCACTCAGGAGGCAGAGGCAGTTGGATCTCTGTGAGTTCAAGGCCAGCCTGGCTTACAGAGCAAGTTCTAGGACAGCCAGGGTTACACAGAGACCCTGTGTAACCAAACCAAAACAAACAGCCAAAACAAAAACAAACAAACCAAACCCCAACCAAACAGAAAGCATACTTTACTTAACCAGCCATTTGGTGACAGCTGGGCTGTCCTGCTGAAGTTTGCACTGCTGTAATGCTTAAGTGTTATGCACATATCATTTCACATGCACACAGTGACATTCACGCAGGGAATTTTCAGAAGTGAGACTGCCGTGCCGTGTTGGTAGATGTTCCTGAGTTGTTTTCCACCAGGGAAGAGCTGCACTGCATGCTTGTCCAGAGCACTTACTCGAATTTGATTCTTGCCATTCTGGTGTGCAGAGAAAGGAACTCCCCTCTCTTCCTGCCTTTTTAGGATGAGTTTAGAGTGTTTACACATGTGGGACTCTCCTTTTGGACACACATTGCCCCTCTACTGACTCTGCATTGTGATGATTGATCACGGTCTTGTCCACTTTGGAAATTCTTCATGGCCTGGAGAGATAGACTGTCCTGGGAACCATATCTGCTAAGCTGGACCCTGTGCCTAGGAACAAATGATTCCACAGGGAGCTTCCCTGTGGGTTGCTGGAGCCAATAGGAGAGCTTTGAAACAAGACGGATGGCCATTCAGAGAAGCCCTTGGACCTCCACGCGTGTAGGAGGCTGAGATGACTAGCCTTCATTGTCAATTTGAGGAGATTGAGAATCAACAGAGACACACCTCTGACAGGTCTGTGGGGGTCTTTCCAGAGAGACTGAACTGAGGTAGAAAGTTCACCTTAAATGCGGTGGCACCATCCCTTGGGCTAACTAACATCTTGGACTGAATAGAGAATGTAAGCTGAACACCAACAGTACTCATCTCTCTCTGCTCCCTGAATGTGGATGCAATGGGACCAGCTGCTTCACATGGATGCTGCCATGACTTCCCTGCACAGTGGACTGGGGCCTCAAGCTGTGAGCCAAAATAAACTCTTTCTTCCTTTCATGAGCCTCAAGATAAGTGAATAATGTAAGAGCCAAGAAGAGCTTAGGTCACATGTTCACTGCTTATTAACAACTTAGAATGGTCCATTAGTTCTTCCTTAAATAGAAGTCCTGTCATCCCCATCACATTTTTAAATCGTGGATATTACTTAGAAAGAAACGGATACTTGAGTGGCCCCACAGGATCAGCTGACTGGAAACACGACACTTCTCAGAGTAAACTCATTTGCCTGTCCTAAAGATGAAGGTACCATGGAAGCAAGCTCCTTGTACTCATGGAGGACCCTGAAGACACAGCTCCCCTGAGGCTTTTCTCAATAAACTGAGAGGCACTTGGTCTGGGGATTATGGAACCCAAAGACATGGACAAAGAATGTTGGCTCTGGGGAGCTAGCTCAAGAACAGGTACATTTTTGATGACAACGTTAGTAGCCAATCATACAGTCAGTAGCCCAGCTACACTGTGCCCAATTAATGTAGATATAAGCCATCAGTTCATACATCCCTAAATAATGTGAACAAGCTGGTCCTTGGTTCCTCCAGGGAATTTGAACTTTGAGCAACACATCATGAGTCACAAACTAGCTCACCTCATCATCTTTATCTTGGCCAAGGGAGAGTGGCAGACTTGCTGGCATCTCTGGAGACAATGTAAGACACTTGCTGTCTATCTGTGAGGTGGCCCTTCCTTGGACACCTCCATAGGGAGTCTTCAAGAGCTCCTGGGGGCCACTAGTTCCTTTCCCATTCTGGTTTTCAGCAATGAACAGACGTTGGCTTCATCTGGGCCTTTTTCTTCTACAGCTCAGGGGAGACTGTCACCAGCGTGACCAGCTTGGCCCCACTGCAGCCACAGAAGGGCAAGAGGCAGAAGGAGAAGGCAGATGTCCCACCTGCAGTCCCTGCCAAAGGTAAGAATTGGACCTGCAATTTCTTAAGTGAAAGCCGCCATGATTGATGCAGGGGTGGGCCTGGAGTCAGTTGTGGGATTAGGGCAGGGAAATAGATGGATGGGGGACTTGTCATTCAGTGCTACTCTAGTGTAAACATCCCCCTAGATTCTAGGCATAACAAACTGGGATGAAGTAGGGAGCAGGCAGAAAGCATCGAGGTAAGTCAACATGCACAGGAAAGTCCATACTGAAGTTACTGTGGACTTTTAAATGGTGGGGTGAGCAGGGGCTGGCAACATCTTCTTGGTTCTTAAAGAGAAAGAACATCTCTGGCATTTTAAAGAGATATGCAGTACATTTCAGACTTATTCTGCTGACAAAATACACATTCTGTAATTTTATTTGGTGGTTGCTGTTTTTATTTAGAGCAAATTTTTTTTTTTCGGTTTTTCGAGACAGGGTTTCTCTGTGTAGCTTTGCACCTTTCCTGGAACTCACTT